TCTGGTTCCTGTGGGCCCTCCAGCTCCTGCTCTGGTTCCTGTGGGTTCTCCTGCTCTGGCTCTGGTTCCTGTGGATGCTCTGGTTCCTCCAGGTCCTCCAGTTCTGGTTCCTGTGGGTCCTCCAGCTCCGGCTCTGGTTCCTGTGGGTTCTCCTGCTCCGGCTCTGGTTCCTGTGGACGCTCTGGTTCCTCCGGGTCTGGCTCCTCATCTGCTCCCGCTTCCTCCCTTGGTTCCACGTCTGCCTCCGCCTCCTCCCTTGGCTCTGCATCTGCCTCCGCCTCCTCCCTTGGTTCCACGTCTGCCTCCGCCTCCTCCCTTGGCTCTGCATCTGCCTCCGCCTCCTCCCTTGGCTCTGCATCTGCCTCCGCCTCCTCTTGCGGCTCTGCGTCTGCTCCTGCCAGGTCTCGCCATGGGTGTTTTCCTGGTCGTCCCCCTGGACTTTTGGCCTGTGTGGGATGATTGTTGTTTCCAAATGGACTTCCGTGTTTTGTCCTTGAGTTTGTTTTGTCCTGTCTTCCCTTGTTCCGTGCCTCTCCTTGTTGATCGTCGGGAGATGATCGTTAAAGGGGGTGGGGGGTTCTGTCATGATTTGTCAGTTTTCACCTTGGCTTTCCTAGTGTTTCTATGTTCCCCAGTGTGTCTCAGCCCAACTGCCCCTTACTAGTCTGATTTGTCACCCTCGTGTTTCTCACCAGGTGTTTTCAGTTCATCCATTAGTTGTCAGTGTATTTAAGTCCTATCTTGTCTCAGTCTGGTGTCAGATCCTTGTTTGCTGTTTCTTGTTCTTTGTTCTCTTGCTCTTGTTCCTTGTTCTCTTGCTCTCTATTTGATGTTGATGTTCATGTACGTGATGCTGCCCAAATCCCTAATTCTTGTTTGCTGCCACGTCAGCACCTTTTGTTTTGTTTTAATAAACCTTTTTTGCCACCCTCACTCAGTCCTGCATCTTGGGGTTCAAATCAACCAAGCAAATCGTAACAGTCCCAGATTAGTTATGGAACCTCATTCTTGATTATTATAGAAATTTTGGTTTGAAGGTGTGCTCTGGGACCTTTACATCAGAATGGCATTGTCTAGAGAAGGGTATCATTACTGGTTGCACAATCTCGGTATCCCTGTGCATTGGCAATGAACTTGCTTGTGAAATCGGGGAAAGTGGAATGCTGTGGTCCTTTGACTAGATTGGGCACCTAGCAAACTCCAATTAGAGCTTTTATGGATGATGTGCCTGGATGCAGATGGCTTTTTCAAGGGCTCAAAGGACTCAAGGCATGGGCAAGGATGAGCTTTAAGCCCACAAAGTCCAGATCCCTAGCCTTGAGAAAAAGAAAAAGTGATTAACAAGTTCTGTTTTGCCTTGGGAAGGACTCAGATTGCATTAGTGTTAGAAAAGCCAGTGAGAAGCCTGGAAATAAAACTATTCCCTGGCAACTTGAAGGACACCACTACATGCCAAGGCATTATTATCAAGACCTCAAAATGTGGCTCTCAGCTGTGGACTAATATGAGTTTCACAGAATGTTTAAGGCCTGCATCTAACAACATGACATCCTGTCTCGTCTCCTCTGGCAGTTGCCTGTCTATGAGGTCCTGATTACCACTGTAGTGGGCCTTGAGAGGAAGGTTAGCCAGTTTTTATGTGGATAGTTGGATATACTACGAAGCCTAAGCACCTTTACTCTTTRGGCAGAACACCAAGCTGTGGCTGCCATTCAGTAGCATGGTAAAGGTGTTCAAAGTCAGAGAAATCCTGCTCTATAAAAATTCTGCTGACACTAAGGTTTCTTCAGCAGGTGTCGAGATAAGGGCAGGATGGAACTGGCATGCCCAGGATGCAGTGGATAGGGCAGAGGCAAGGTTGCGACACAGTACCTTGTTTGGCATGGTAGAATTTGGTTAGGCAATGCTGGGCAGTAATCCAAAACTGATCTGCAATCTAAAGCAAGAGAACTGAAGAGGAAGCTCATCCAGGAAGACAAATGTGTTCAGGATTAGTAGAATGCATTAGTAGAATGGTAGGCTTGTCCAAGCAAGGGACGTGGACTAAGTGGGAACATACAGTATCATAGGTTTGCCCATGTTGAGATTCAGTTTCAAAGACAAAACTGTTTTTTAGTTATGTTTTTCCCCTATTGTCTAAAAGTATATGAAATACATTGTTCATTAGTCTTTCTGTCAGAACCATTAGATTGTTTTATTTATGCAACCTGCTGATAAATAAAGTACATCCTGTTCTCAAGGACTTTTGTTTAACATTTAGTTTACTGTGTTTTATTACCTGTGCAGATGAGGCCATCATGTTTGTCACACTCTCGGTCGTCACACTCACAGTAATCTCCTGATATCCACCACTCTTGTGGAGAGCAGATGCACTGCCCACAGTGACAGGAACCTGTATTAAACACAAACACACACAAATAAGCACCATCATTAATATCACATATTACTTTTTTGTATTTTTTAACTGTGAATGGTTTTGCTCAATGTTATTGATACCACTTGGCATATTTGTATCTTTTCTTTTCCAATAAATGTTGTTGGTATGATATTTTATTATTTTCTGTTTTTCTATCAAAGAAAGATCATTTGTATCAGAGTGGACAGAAATATTCCCTGGGGATAGAGTGTCTAATGCTCTTTTACCACCAGGATACCAACCCACCCACAGTTTCAACATCCTTTATTCACCATCAGTGTAGATTTCTTTTTTTTTTTCATGGTAGCAGCAGGATAATAGCATTTATTAGGAAGTGGTACAAAGAAATGTAACCTGCTGTAAGCTTAATCTCCTCAAAAAATAAGACCCTGAGGTCCGGCAGCTGTGTTTTCAATCATCCTGGTTTTTACTTGCATGCATTTGGCAGCAGGGAGCGAGAACAACAAGTGAAGTCAGATGGAAAAGGAGTTAAAGATAAAGTGAAACAGGTAAGGCAGAAAAGACAGGGATGAAAGACAAGGTAGAACAGAAAATAGTTTTTTCGTTTGGATTAAATATGAACAAACTCATCTTCATTTTTTATGCTTGGGTTTAAGAACTGGGCTTTCTGTAGTCTAACAGTTATTTGGTATATAAGCCAAAGAAGTAACAAAAAACTGAATGAAAAAATATAGTTCTAAAGAAAAAAAACAACTGTGCAATTTTTAATAAATTCTGAGTCAATGTTGACTGGAAAAATGTTGTTGTCAAACCCAAAACAAATGACAAAACTCTTCATATTTTGTAATATGCAACATATAAATATTAATGCTGGGCACGTTAACACGTTATTATTTCTCCGTCTGATCTCTGGGCTACCTGTGAAGATGCACACAAACTCACTAGTCCCCACAGGGAGGCAGAGCCTTGATCACTATTGGCTTTAKATAGCCTTCATAGTGCGTCTCATCCAATGAAAGCCTTTGTTGTTGAGCGTGGCAGTCGCTCACATGAACCCAAGCTGCAGCCGGGAGGAAACATGTCTGAAGCTGCGAGATTCTTCAGGGCATTTTTTTATTTCAAAACTTTTCCCAACRGTGGGCTGGGAGGAAGTAAAGTTATCTGTTAGCGCTGTAACGCTAAAATGTCTCACCACCGGTAACAGTTCAAACACGAAAAATCACTTCAGTTTAAAACCAGGGTAAACAAACAGAGGGAGATTCTGCTGACCAGAGTGTGGGAGAAAAATATGACTGGCTTGCTTTGCCTTATTTGTTTAAAGTTTTTGAAAATGCGTTGCCCCTTTTTTATTTAAAACAGTGCCTAAAATGCCCTAAACATATTTGAGTCAGTTAAATTTTGTGCAAAATAATGGCTTAATAATTCAGACTGCCCCGACTGTGCCCCCTAGCGGGTTATTCATAGAACGGCTTCAGACTGTGTACCTACTAATACATTGGAAGGCAACAATCTGCTGGTCTACTTTAACAGAGCCCAGGGAATTTTCTCTAAACTTAACCTTAGTGGCTTTATGCCTCACATTAACCAGCTGAGAGTCTGAAGCCATGGGATTGATAACCCGCTAGGCGGCACAGTTGGGACAGTCTGAAGCCATTCTAAAGGACTGATAACCACTAATAACGTGCAATTAATGAACTGATAACCTGGGGGTAGGTGGGTGGGTGGGTGACATCCCCCTCATAATAGGTCACAACTATACCACATGGAGAGACCTCCTTCAAAAGACATACACCCTGGTGTAGATAGTCAGGTAACCACAACCTTCTCCAAAGGGAGTTTCCAAATGTAACACCCACCTGTCTCAGTAACGTGAGGCACAGATTCATCCTACAAGGGAGCAACTGAAAAACATAGGCTCTTTTATGCCTTTCACGATTTGTCTGTTTTCCTCCATCTCAAATTTTAACATCTTCCCTGCAGATTGAGGTTTTTCCAGAACATATGGTCACCTTATGGATGGCAGCATTTCTATTGTTTCTTTATTTTTATTTATTTATTTTTTCATTTTACAAACAACAGGAAGAATTGTGAAGGAAAATGAAATTGTTGCCAATGTATTTATATTTTGAAGGTGTTTCAGCTATGTTTTTGTTATAAATACACAGCATATGTATTGTCATGTTATTCTGAATTGTTTCAACTCATACAGTAAGTTTCCAGCAGGACACCTTTAATGTGTCTTTTCTTGTTCTTCAAGCCTTAACTCTACATCCTATTGTGTCTGCTCAACTGGATGGCGGAACTATTTGTTTTGTTGTTATTGGAATGTGAACATGTAAGTGATGATGAAATAGAAAGTATAACCACATTTTAAAGGTGTTCTTCCCTGCTGAAGGACCACAGAACCGGATTTTAACTGAAACTAAGAATATTTGCTAAGAACCATTCTTTGCTTGTCAAATAGAAACTGGTTTTGGACTGGTTTCTACAGGAAGAGTATAAAAGATGCTTTACAAGGCTGTGTCCTCAGACTCAACTTGTATGTCTGCATGTTGACATTCATTTTATTGAAATAAAATTCCTCAGATACCATTGTAGTGAAAAACGCTGTTGATCACTTATTTCTGCATTTTGTTTAAAAGGCATGGAAGAGTTATTTTTCCATTACAATGGTAAAGTAACTTTGTTTATTTTTATATAATTTTTATGATTTCTTTTTCTGGACTTTATTTATTTATTTATTTATTTATTTATTTATTTATTTATTTAGTTAGTTCCGCTCTCGGAGTAGTAAGACACTTTTCCCTTCTCTCCTGCCCTTCCTTATCTTCCCTGCTGTGTTGCTTGGAGCTTTCTCCACGTTTTCATCCGAAACCAGAAATTATGGACATTTTTATTTTTATGGACTTGGTTAGCTGGTCTCTTAATAAATTTTGTGGAACAAAGTTTTTCTTCTATGGGAGGACATATCAAAGGTGGGGCCTCTGCTCTTCTCTGTTCTGGACATATATTTGGATTCGGATCACTGGATTCTACAAATTGGCTTGGTGGTCTCCTGGCGTTACACAAAACAGCGTCAGTGGCTTTTCATTTCCTGGCTGCCTGACCAATATGAAGGATTGCCGTTCTATCAGCACTCAGACTTTTGCCTTGAGCGAGCTGGACTCGGTCTGCAAGCGGTTCTGTTGAGGGTTGCGGGCCGGCTGTGGTCCCTGGACTTTGCAGGCCAGTTTAAATTGATCTTGGAGAAGCTGATAGCACAACTCAGTGGGATTATGACACACTATTTGTCTGATAGGAGTCACCACTTTGAGATGTGCCAGCAGACATTGAAGCAGATGGAAAATTGTTATCGTCTGCCTGATTCTTCTGTTCCCAAAACAACTGATTACAGATTTGGCTCTTCTACGTGGCCTTGAAAAGCTGTGGACTAAATTCCTTCAAGTAATTTTATCTATCTGTCTGTCTGTCTGTCTGTCTCTGTCTGTTTGCCTGTCTCTCTTTAATTATAAAACCTTACAAAGCTAAGAAAAGCAGTGTAACGGAAGATGAATAGAAAGCCCTTCTGCAGCAGCACTGAAAGGGGAAAATGTACACAGTACATAAACTGTTTACCTTTTCCACTGCAAAGGACTCCATCTGCTGTCTCGCAAACCTCCTTGCTCTGGGCGTCACTCATGTCACAGAACCTAGGGAACTGGCATAGCTTCCCAAACCAGCCCTCTTCACAGATGCAACGTCCACATGAACAGTAGCCGTGACCTGGCAGTGGAGGGCAGAAGGCCTTTATTTAAAAAGAGACAAAATATGGTGCAAAGCTATGAGAAAACAGAACAAACTGGAGGGGGGAAAAGCGTAGTGTGTGTAGATAGCTGAAGTCAAGTAAAACACCACAGGAGAGGGAAAAAAAGATAGCTTTAAAGCACATAAATACAAAAAGTTGACGGCACAGACATCGAACCTTGACACTAATAGGCAGTATAGGGAGGAAGAACTGTGGGGAGATGAGAGAGATGCTGCAAGCTTATTGTATTTCCCCCAGGGGACGTGAAAGGAACTGTCATCACTGGTCTTGTCCTGTCGTTAATAAATCTCCAGAGCTTCAGACAGAGATAAAAAAGAATAAGATTGGAAAATGAAGGCGAAAACACAAACACACAGGAACTCCACTTAAAAAAATGGGGTGTATAAAAGGTTGAAAAAAAAACAGGTGGGTGTTCCAGTGTCTTAGATTTCATTACTGTAGATCTAACAAGCACCTTTAGAACTCACACCCTCTTTAGTGTCAAAGTGGACTCTTGGATTGTTCACTCTAAATTATTTTGTAAAGAGAGACTTGCATTGCTTGCTGTCTATCTTATTATATTAGCAAAATAACACATGTAATACAACAATGGCTATACCTCAGCTAGTTTTGCAGAAATTCAGCTAAAATTTGATGTGATTGTAGTTGAGCATCATCCCCAGTGTTTACTATGAGTGCTACACATATCTTCACTTAAAAATTGACATTAAACGTTGAAGTCAACCCGCTAGGCTGTCAGCAAAATATGTCAAAACACTGGAAGGATTTAAATGAGACTCTCAGAAAGTACGTGGAGAAACAAGTTAATTCAACACTAGAAGTGAAACAAATGGTTAGGAACTGTCTACTAATGAAACATCAGGCTACAGTTCTCAGTAACATTAGAAATTTTGTCTTGTCACACAATCACAATAGATATTTAAGTTTTCTGTTCATGTATCATTGTGTTATTTTATCAAATGCTCCTAAGAACTTATCCTGTTCCAAGTATGTCTTGAGTTGTTACACTAAAATATTTATATTTTAATTTAATCAATGAGTGAGGACATGCTTCCTCATGGGAGAAAAATAGTCTCATTGGAATCTGAATATTTTTAGACACTGAATTTATGACAATGAGTTTTTATCCTCTGAAATTATGTGAATTTTGTTACTTCAACTTTGCTGGCAAAATTTCACATGCAACATTTCAACTGAAGAAATTTGCCAGAAAAAAAATCAACTACAGAAATTCACATTTAAAAATTCACCTGAAATTATTCAACTGCTGAAATTCAGCTGCAAAAATTCAGCTGCAAAAATTTTCTGTAAAAATACGTATGTTGACCTCCTGGTGACCCAAGCCAAAGCAATCAATACTAGATCAAGTCGAGCAGCTTTTAGCCAATCAAGTTACGCTGATTTGATCACGTGACACACCAGCTCGAGGTCAGAGGTGACTTTTTTTATTTAGCTTTAACAGTTAGCTGGTCAGTGGCTTAATGAAGATAAGCGAGTTGTATTTTCTGCTAAACAAAGATTATCATAAACGCTATAGGTACCGACTGACAGCCAGTTCTTTTATGCTTTTCTGATGGGTATGCTATTCTGTCGGAACACCGGGTCTGCCCCTTCTGTCTGTGCAGAGAACTGGTGGTGCACAAACCACTAGCTGCGATCCGGTTAGATGAGGGAAAAAAAGAAGAAAAAAAACCACCCCGAAACTCAACTGGCTGTCAGTCGGTACCTATAGCGTTTATGATAATCTTTGTTTAGCAGAAAATACCACTGGCCTATCTTCATTACCCCGGATTTACATTACTTGTGTTCCATCTCTGCTCCGCTGTGCAGGTCACAGCTGTGCGTTTCAAGTCCAGTTTACATTATCTCCGCTCTGCTCCATTCCGCTCCGGTCCGACAGACATGCAGGAAGCAGATCGCGCAATAAATTCTGTGATAAGTGTGGAAGTCACAGCAAAAAAATATTAATTCTGTGAAAGATGAACTCCAAACAGCTGAAAACAACAATATAAAGGCTTTTGGTATCTATGTTGAAACTGTCTCGCTGTCGGCTTTCGGAAACGTCTGATTTAAAAATAAAATCCATGTGTTTCGTGTGTGTACACATATGCTTCATGCTACATGTTTCCATCTGCTTCCCAAACAGAACGATACATTCTGAAAACATTTGTGTAGAAATATATCCCTATATTTATTAATATAGCCGCAATTTCGACATTATTCCAACAAATTATTCCACCGAATAGTGTCTTATTTTGAAAATACGGATGTAGTGCTCATTTCTTTTCCAGTTGGTGCGACGTAAACTTTAAAAATTGACTCCGGCGCTGCTCCGTCGTCCGGCAAAAATAGGATCTGTTCTAATTTTGATGGATCGCCGTCCGCTCACCGCCGCCCTGCGCAGCCAGTGTAAACACTCTCGTTGATTATTGTCAGAATCAGGCAGGAACAGACCCAGGGTGCAGGCTCCAAAAGTAGAACAAAAAAGGTTCATTAAAGTAACAAAAAAACTGCTGTAGAAACAGCTCAAACTTACAGGATGCACGAGGTTCACACAGGCAGGGGGAACAGAACACAATGAACTGACAAAAGACTGAGACGAGACTTAAATACACTGACAACTAATTGATGAAGAGAAACACGAGGGTGACAATCAGACTCCTGGGGAGCAGCTGGACAGAGACACACTGGGGAACATAGAAAAACACTAGGGAAACTAAGGTGAAAACAGACAAACCATGACAGTACCCCCGCCTTAACGATCATCTCCCGACGATCAACAAGGAGAGAGCATGGAACAAGGGGTGTCAGGACAAAACAAACTCAAGGACAAAAACACGGAAGTCTCTGGGAAACAGACAAAAAAATCATCCCACACCGGGCAATAGTCCAGGGGGACGACCAGGGAACCACCCATGGCAAAACCTCATAGGAGCAGATGCCGAGGCCCAGGAGGAGGTGGAGGCAGATGCAGAGCCACAGGAGGAGGTGGAGGCAGATGCAGAGCCACAGGAGGAGGCGGGAGCAGACGTGGAGCCCAGGGAGGAGGC